TATCTTGTGGCTTAGTTGGTTGGAAGGTTGCCAATTCATATTGAAGGTCTAGGGATCGAATCCCTCCCCAACCAATTTATAGTGTAATATTTTTATTTCTACAATTTTTACTAAAATTCATGAAAATATGGAGAGGAGGATTCGAACCTGGGTTCTCTCCATAGCATTATGAGGAGATTAACCATTGAAGCACTTGTTGAATTTGAGCATGAAATTGAACAGAATAATATATGTTATGTTTTAGCGATTTTAATACAAATGTAAACCTATTAATATATAGATTAACTTGCAATTTCTAAAGAATAGTGCTCCATCAGAAAATAGTGTAACTAAGGTAATAACGTGAAAATCTATATTAAAAGGTCCCATTATCGCAATAATGTGAAAAAAACTGATTTTTGTCAAGTTATTTTAATACAAATGTAAACATTGTGGCTCTTCTTTTGACTTATGCAAAATTTGGCCACAATATTATTTGGTAAATACTTTTAATATTAACCAAATAATTGTTTTATTTAAATTTTAGGTCTTGTATCATTCCCCCTTTTTTTTTTCCAAATACATTTTTTCTTTCTTTTTTTTAATCACACTGTTTCGCGCGTGTTAGTCGCTAACAATTAAAAAGGATCAGACGATTGTGTAAGGGACAAACCTCTTGAGACAAAGTCCCAAAAAGGGGTGTTCTTTTATTGGCGATGACTTTACAATTGGAAATGAAAAACAATGTGCCTCCAAGGGGCGCAAGCACACAAGTTACTGAAAGAAAAATGTTTAAGTCTAAAAACTAAGGAAATGAAAATTACATGTTCTCTGTTCGAGAGTTTTTTATTCGGTCCTTTGCTTCTATGTCCTTTCTTCCTTTTATACTTCATGGACGATCTCTTTGTGATCAACCGCCCTAAAAACTGCTTGATCGTCCTATAACTGCCCACTTTTTTCGTAATGGCCAACTTGTCATGAAAACTGCCTCTTTTAACTACTGTCATTACTCTTCATCGTTCAATCGCTTTCGATTGAATTCCTTGAATCGCGGAACGTGATAGGGCTGCTCTCAAAACTGCTTTGATAACTGCACTTCTTGATAACCACGACGCTTTATGTTTGTTAAGACCTTGGGCGACTTAAAGGTTTGGGCGAGAATAGAGTAACAGCTCTGGGCGACTGTATGACACTCCATTTGCTCAGATTCTGGGCGACTTGCAAACTTGGACGATGGCGTTACCGCGTTCTTGGGCCTCCTTATTTGGGCCTTCATCTTGATTTGTTCGATTGGATTTCGTTCTTTGGGTTATCTGATTTGGGGATCCTCCAATTGGGCTTCACTCCTTGGGCTGTTCGATTTGGGTTGAATTTTTATGTGTCAACACACACATTCCTCAATGAAATAATATTAACGCAAATTCAAACTTTTTCTTTATTTTTAACAATACTTTATCCATCAAATCACTATTCCAAAATGCATTTTTTTTTTGCAAAAATAGAGCATCAAATGGGCTCGTAATATTTTATTGTGGCGACGATAGACGGCCGCCCGTGCTGACTTAAAAGTTTGGATTCACCACTGGATATAGGAACCGTAGGGCGACTTGTTGCTGGTGGATTGGCTGGAGCTGTGGCACAAACTTCTATTTATCCAATGGATCTTGTGAAAACTCGATTACAAACTTATGCTTGTGAAGGAGGAAATGTGCCAAGTCTGAGGAAATTATCTAAAGATATTTGGGTTCAGGAGGGACCTCGAGCATTTTACAGAGGGTTGGTGCCATCTCTTCCTGGAATTACTCTTTATGCAGGCATCGACTTAACTGCCTATGAAACCTTGAAAGATATGTCCAAGAAATATATTATTCATGACTATGGTATTGTTTACATTTTTTGTGTTTCTGAGTACTTGTTCCACTTGCTTGTCTTTTATTTCATCGGATGTGTCATGATCGTTTCAATTGTAAAAACTTCCAATGTGTTATGCAGAACCTGGTCCTCTTGTGCAACTCGGTTGTGGAACGATTTCAGGAGCACTTGGAGCAACATGTGTTTATCCTATGCAGGTGATAAGAACGAGGTAAAATATTCACATTTTCGTTCTTTGCTACTAGTCAATTTTGTTCGTTTGTTCAAGTTCACAGAATATATTTGATATTTCTTCCTGAAAGCTAAAAAGTACTAGTTTTTAGAATGCAAGCTCAGAGCATGAATACAGATGCTGCATAGAAGGGGACAGGATGTATTCTATAGAACATTTCAGCGTGAAGGTTTAAGGGGATTCTATAAAGGACTATTCCCAAATCTTCTTAAAGTTGTACCAGCAGCAAGCATTACGTATATGGTTTACGAGTTCATGAAAAAGAGTCTAGATCTTGAATAGATGATGCTCAACTACGGTTATATAGCTATACATTGGGAAAAAAACACTGATGATGATGAAAGTTGAATAAGATTATTTTTGAAACTGATGGTCATTATTTGGACATAAATTAGATTTTTGATCCCCCTCGAGATAGCTATGGGGGTTGGCTGACTAATTGCGTTGAAATTTAAGAATACATAACGATGTCTATGTTTAGTACTAGGTAATTGTTGTATACTTCTGCTACATACTCGCAACAAATACCAACACTTCGGAATTTGCCATTTTTGCTATAATAATCTTCGGATACAAATTTCTTGTTCAGTGTATCATTGAATATAAGGATATTGTTACTTTATTTGCTCACCGGATATGTGCTTTTTTTGATTGACAGAATTTTTTCTAAAGAAAAGTCATCTCTTAAGCGTGTTTATCTTTCTATCAGTATCATTTGTCTGTTTATTGGTTTGTGCTCAGTAATATCAAGCATGTTTGGCTGTGTTTCAAATTGTTTTTTTGGTAAGTATCTCATGACTTTTAGAATATACATATTGTCAGTTTAAGTTGTAATCTTGGAATTTGTGTTTGACAAACTTGAACGTAGATAATCAGCTTTTTCAAGCGGAGCCAAACATGATCCAAGAACATAATGCATGATGTTTGATCTTGACACTTCTTGAATTCTTTGTTTGGTCTATAAGTATTAGTTTGCGGCTGTAGGGTATGCTGTTTCCAACCCTTTTACTGTTTGAAAACCCAGTCTAGTCTGGTTGGTCGAGTTGAACGGGGTTGGGCCTCGAGTGCCGAATGCATTGTGCACTCGATCAACTTTTGTGCATTACATTTATGCCTTTAGAGAAGTTATGTTCATTATGATAGAGCTCAAAGGGCTATCTGTTTAGTGAGCAAACAACATTAACATATGCATGTTCCAAAAGTCAAGGATACATTGTAATAATGGAGAATAAAATCCTTAACAATAGTGAGCCATTAACATAATTAACAAGATTTTCTTTATAACCATGAACACATTTTTTAGCTGGGATTAAATTCTTATTCTTGTTTATTTTAATTAATTGACCTTGGAGTATGAAGTCAAGTCATAAAATGTGTAGTTGAAAAGTTGATACCTCATAAAATGCTTGATTGAAAATAAATTTGAGAAAAAAAAAAAGAAATTTTTAAAAATGAGAGCCAAACACGATGAATGCATTTTGGAACCCATGTTTGGTTAAGTGTTATATATATATATATATAGATGTGTTCGGATATGTTGGTTTTCATTTTCATTTTTATTTTTATTTTTATTTTTATTTTTATTTTATTTTATCTCTCATCTCACTTATAAAATAAGTAACTGACCTTTAGTTATAATTAATAAAAAAAATATTATTTATTTAAAAATTACTTATTTAGTACAGGTAAATTCTTGGGCTTGGGTAGGCACGCTCCAAGTGCGAACAAACGAAATAATTATACATTCTACTAAAATTTGTCTAGATTGTAGACAATTCACCAAGTTTTTTGTTGAAGTAAATTACTATAAATTAAGGGCATGTTTGTAAGCGATTTTTTTCTCTAAAAAATTGATTTTTTGACTGTTATTTTACTATTCCAGCCGTCATATTAGATTTCTTCTCTCACAGGTGGACCTCACTTTTCTCCTAACGATCAAAAAATCAATTCTCAAAATCACTCCCAAACAGGACGTAAAAATGAAAAGCTAAACCTGAAAAATCCCAATTGTTTTTACGAAAATGCTAAACAAACAGGGATTAAAAACATGGTGATTTTACAGCCTGTGATTGAGTGTTTTTATGTGTCTTTTTTTTTTTTTTTTTCCAATTTCCAATTAAAATCTATCAAGTGTTGTTCATGAAAAAAAATCTATCATTAACTCCGACTGTATAGCAAAATTGTTGTTTTTATTCTTTTAATTGTGGTGGTCGGCGTACGTGTCTAAATCATTGAATTGTGCCGAATAACTTTTCTTTACCTGCATTAAATATTAATATAATATTAATCTGTGGATTCCAGTGCCATATACTACCAATAAATTCATGGTAGTGGCCCTTACTTACTTTTCGTTATATTATATGTTAAAAAGTATAAATTGTCGTTTTTATCCAGTGGATAAGGCGTGAAATATTCTCTTGACCCTTCGAATTACGGAGCGACTTCTCGAGCTTTTAATTCTTATTTTACTCATAAACTTAAAAAATTTATAAGCTTTCCATTTTTTAATTAATTTGTATAACTTTTTTTTTTATAAAATAATCAATTTTTTAGTAAGAATGAACAGATCAGTTATGGGCCTTAATCAATGAGAGCACATGGTTTATATCATTAACATGACAAGCAGAATGCATGGCTCACATTAATGAGCAGTAAAGAGTAAATGGAGCTAGGCTAAGCTTAAAAGAGTTTACTTATAAGTAAATTCTAGTATAAGTACTTTTTTAAAAACATTATTAAGAATTAATTTAATAAACATTAGAAAAATGGTTACTTAAAATTGATTTTTGAAACTTAGTCTAACATTATTAGCCCTAGCTAGAATAGGCGTCTAACGTCACATATTTTACATCGAAATTAAAAAGAGAACAAAATAAGAATTTTGCTATTCTAACAAGGCTTTTGGATAGACCCTAAATGAAAATCAGATCAAGGGTCGAGGTGTTGCCACCTCAATCTCTGTCATTTGGTCCGATCAAAAGGCCCTCACTATATCAGGGCTCACAAAATAATTATGAGTCAACTATATAAATCTGTTGGATCTAAATTGCCTGTCAAAATTTGTAGAGAAGAGAAGGAATAGTTATTTCATCAGGAAAGTTTCCAACTGTCCTCAAAGGCTTCCAATAATCCATCATGCTACTGGTATCAATCTTCCCTAGCAATGGAGTATTGGAAGACTTGTGGACCGTTGAAGACACATTTCTTTCATCGAAGTAAATCGGGTCGAGCCATCTATCTAGATTACAAAAGGTATGTAAAAAGACGAAATCGAATGTATAGCAACAATAACTACTATAAATAAGATTTTTACTTCATTTGTGTACCATAAAGATAATTATTTTCTTGATGTATCAAAATCAAGAGGTTATGCAATTTTCTTCTAATTTCCCCTGTTGAGTTATGTTAAAATTACTTCAAATTATAGGGTTTTGATCTTTTTCATCGATCTAGACAAAATTTATAATGTTTTCTATCCTCTACTGGGTGCGGCAAATTAATTAATTCTAAGTCAAGGGCTCAAATTAGGGTTTATAAATGATTTTTAGGCTGAGCGTAGATTGAAAAAATCTGGTGTAATTAATATGTGATACGTGGATTTTTCTTCTCTTCTCTCCTCTTCTCTCTCTCTGAAAATTTTGATACGTAAATTGGACATTTAAAGATTAGGATTTAAAGAAATTGAGATTTTTCGAATTATGTTCTCTTCCCTCATAAATCAGGTCGAATCCGATAAAAGTTACATAAAGAGAACTCTGAAAAATAAATAAATTGTACTCTTCCAAGTCAATATATGAGAATTTCTTTTAAACTTCTTATTACTGCAATTAGGATTTCAGGCAAATAGAAATCTTGACTATTTCTACAGCCATGTTACAACTAATTAAGCATTGAACTGTTGGAGTTTTAGTATTATTATTATTATTATTATTATTATTATTATTATTATTATTATTATTATTATTATATTTTATTTATTTATTTATTTATTTTTTGGGGAAATCTGCTGTAATTTCTTTGGTATATAGTAAGCATCGTTTGTATTTGTGAATCATTCATTAAAAAAAAAAAAAAAAAAGGAAACAAGAAAAGAAAGAAAGTAATACATTTGACATGTGGTCTAATGTCCAGTCCAATCTTATAATACTAAACTTATAAATAGGTATGTAAAATATGTATCTGAAATGTATAAAATATGATTTCATGTTTTGAAAGTTTTTATAAATTCTGAAAAGTATAATAATTAATTAAAGTAAAAATCTCTATCCTTCCCGACTTGTGTATTCTGGTCGATGAAAACCTTAGACATTCATCAACTTCGGCAAAACTCATATTTCTTGTTTCTAATTAGTATTAACCACAGGTACATGATAGATTAGTTTCAAACACAAAAGCATATAACAACTTTGTAGTAAATTTAAAAAAATTATTCACCAAATTTATTATTAGTCAATAATTAATAAAGTTCTTACATATTAATTATATGTATTCCACAAGAAAAATAGACTAACATATACTCCTCTTCTTTAATTTCGTGTTGCTTGCTCTTTCGAGAATAATATTACATTTCTTTCTGGAGTTTATACAAGTTTATTTATCTTCTATTTAGTAGATATTTTTTGAGAATAAATTTGTAAAAATTGAATTTATTTTTTATTTTTTTGGAGAATTTGTAACATACACAGCCCTTGAGTGTCTTGAGCAGACAGAAAACCTAGCTCAAGCCACGTCACAAGTACGAGCTGGATGCATAGTAATTGGTCTCCTGCTTCAAGCTTAGTCATAGTACTTTTCTCTTGGAAGTTTGGAATAAAACGAAAGTGAAATTTCTTTGTTATCTTCTCTCAGTTCCTAACTTCCTATGGAGGTTATGAGAAACTTATAAATTATAATAGTTTGATTATAGTAATGGCAAGTTCAACAAGGTTTTGGTCCCAACTTCCAAGAGGTTGGAAAGAGCAAGGTCTAAACAAGTGCTACATATACTTTCACAAAGAGATAGACGACCCTTCTCTCCCCCTTTTTTGCAGGAAACTCATCTCTGAATTAGCTACGCCATGTCTAGCAAATATAACAATCCCCAGCCCCTCAACCGGACAACATCAGTAATCTAAGTCTCCATCAAGGTCCAACTCTTTCACTTTGTGCCAGTGCCACCGCCTTATGTGGGCACAATTTCCTGCGGACTTTCTTAGCCATCAGAGAGAGAGTGGGCTGGAGCAAACCCTCCCATTTCTTCCATTTTGTGCACTCTTATTTGCAGAAAGTTGGCATTTTCTGAACTCTCTCCCTCAGTTGCCCTTTCATGACTTTAGGTTGAAGGAGAAGCCTTTGAGGTGTGAGGGTTCAGAAATTGCCAGCCTTCTTACCAGTTTCAACAGTTCATTTATAAGCCGCGTGCAGATATATATACAAAATTAGTAAGTATTAATTTGTTTTAGACACTTTTAAACTCTAACTTACACGCTCTAACTCAATGACAGAATCCCAAAAACAGCCTTTTGTTTTTCTTCGAAAAGTTATAATTCAAAATATTGTTCTCTGGATTTTTTCATCTCTTTTTTCACTTCTAAAGAATTGGATTTTGTTATGTTTTGTACAAAATAAGAACCCTAGCTACCTGGCATGACCTCACCACCAATGCCAGATGAAATATGCTTAATTGAAATTTTGTCCAATTCCTTCCACACAAACAATAAAACAGTACTACTACAACCCTCTTTATGTGCTACTGTGCAAGTTGAACAATGTTTTGGTTTATGGAACTTCGAAGGATATTTAGTGTCAACGGGCTTCATGTTTTTTCATCCTTTTTCTCATATCGGTTGACAAGAAGATGATTTGAACCATCAGAATCCCTTTTCTATTAGGAGAAGTTCTTTTTCAACGTGCATTACTCTTTTTTGCCAATATAGCATCTACTTGAATAGGGGGCATTTGAAATTCTATTTTCCTGAAATGTATGGTTATTTTTTGCCCACAACTCACGACTATGTGGCGTGCAATGATCGTATTCGAGTTCTGGACCATTAATTTGCATAGCTTGGAAAAAACTAATTCAATCCGGGCAGCTCTAATTTCCATTGTTCAATCGGATAAGGAATTGCTAGGCACGAACTTTCATTGAAAAAAACATTATTTCCTTAATTTCATGCATTTTTATTGAAAAAATATTGTTTCTTTTAATCTACGTTATTTTTTTTTTATCTTATTTTCATATTTGTGGTATTTCTAGGGTTTGACATTCTTTCTATAAATAATAGACACTTTTCACAAATTTTATAATGCTACACAATCATTATATTTGTTTTCTCGATATTCATCAATTGAATAATTAAAATACTCAATTCTTCTACCAATTAATTCTTTGCATTTTATTTTGTTATTTGTTTGTGATTATATATTTCATATCGTATCATATATATTACCTCGATTCATTTATTTTCCAACAAATGGTATCAGAGCTATTGATTGTGATTTGTTCGATGTTTTTTTTATTGATGGCAATCATGAAGTATGAAATTTCGCTCTTGGATCACAATACAAGATTCTTATTGTGACAAGTGAAAATGCAAGCTGTATTCGCACAAATGAATTTGAATGATATATTGTTGAAATTTGACAAAATGCCCACAACTTGGATGACAGAAGAGAAATAATAGAAGGATCAAAAGACACTTTTATAGATCTATCTTCATCTTTCTAACAATATTATTCAGGAAATTTTGAAGGAAAAAACGACAGTTGCTTTGTGGTTGAAGTTTGAGCAATTGTGCATGGCTAAAAGCCTAACGAGGAAATTGCATCTGAAGTCGAGGTTGTATTCTCATTGCATGGTAGAAGACGGATCTTTGGAAAATCATCTAGCTGTGCTGAAGAAGATCATCGCTGATTTGAAAACTTTAAAGATAAAGTATGATGAAAAAGATTTGGCCTTAATCATTTTGTGTTCGCTGCTTCCTTCGTTTACTTCATTTAGAGATAGATCTTGTATAGTCGTGATACTGTCACCAGTGAAGATACGTATGATTCATTATTTTCAAAAGAGAGATGAAGCATCTGCTTGGATTCGAGGCTGGAGATGGAGAAGGCCTTGTTGTTCATGATGATCGAGGAGAAGGGATAAGTCAAAATCAAATTTCAGTAATCATGTTTGTTATTATTGCAAGAAAAAATGACACATTAAGAGAGATTGCGACAAATTGCAAAATAAAGGTAATTTAACTGCAAATTATAGAAAGCAATCAAAACACTTCAAACGAGACCAACATAGTCGAGTACTATTTGAGTGATGGAGATATTTTGACAATTTCTAACATGTAATCCAAACTTGACGAGGAGTGAATTTTGGATACAACTTGTGCATTTCATATGAGTCCCAAACAAACATATGAAACGGTGATGCAATGTATCGTTGTCATGGGTAACAACAAACCTTGTAAGGTAGCTGGTAGTGGTAGAGTCAAATTGAAGCTGGTGGATGGAACATGTAGAACACTTGCTCATGTTCGACATATTCCAGACTTAAAGAAAAATATCATTTCGTTGAATACTTTTGATTCAAAAGGGTACATTCTCTGGAAGAGGTGGAGTCTTGAGAGTTTGAAAGGGTGTTCATGTTATATTGGAGAGGCAGAAGATGTCCCAATTATACATCTTGCAAGGTAGGATAGAATTTGTGAAGAAAAGTCAGTGCAGATTTATTACCATGGTGGAGATTCAGTTTGATACTGTACCTTTTGAATTTGGTTCAGGATTCATATTGAAGAGTACCACTCAATTGAGTTTGAAGGATATGGGTAATTCTGCTTTTCCACCATTACCTATGGTTCCATCGTATTCAACTGCTAATGATAGACTCATTAGAGATAGGTACGTGGATGCTGATTTGGTTGTACATGCTTTTAGTATTTTTGAAGGTGTTGAGACTAACCAGTGGTTTTTTGGAATTGATTCTGCTATATAGTGTGCTTCGATACTGGTTGGTAATTTCTAATTCTTTTTTAATTTTGAGAAACACGATGTTTGGGTTCATGTATAAGTGTTGGATACTGTGGAAGAGGAGGAATATTTTTGTGTTAGAGAAAATTTGGTTCTTGTTGAAGAGTTCGAATATTTCGTTGCAGTCGAATTTATTTTTTCAGGTGGAGAAATTTTGGAGTTTCGTTTGTTGTATCAAAATACGGATCAAGGTGGAGATTATTGGTTTTTTTTAATACCCAAATTAGATTGAATTTTTGGGAAAAAATATTTTTTTCTTTATTACACATACTTTTATTGAAAAAATATTATTTCCTTTATTTCACGTATTTTTATTGAAAAAATAGCGTTTCCTTTATTTCACATTATTATTATTATTATTATTATTATTATTATCTAATTTCCATCTTTTGTGGTATTTCTATGGTTTATCATGCTTCATTATAAATACTAGACACTTTTCACAAATTTTATAGTACCGAAATATAGAATAATTCTGTAGGCACAATTATTGCATTTTGTTTTCTCCATATTTGTCAATTGAATAAAATACTACATTTCTCTGCTAATTAATTCTTTGCCTTTTATCTTGTTGTTTGTTTGTTTGTAATCATATACTTCATATCCTCTCATATATATTACCTCAATCCGTTTTATTCTCCAACGATACTCAAGGTGTGGCATGTTCAACAACATAGCCGAATGGAAAAATTCTTAATTTCTTTAGATTTCAAGTAAGCCTCAACGAGATCCTAAATCATTACAGTGAGATGGTGGACCAAGGTAAACACTGATGGTATAGCAGTCAAGGACACTCAAGCTATGATGGGATTTTCAGGAACAATAAAGGGTTTACTAAGGGATATTTCGCAATGTCTTTGGGGGTGGGTTGGGCTTTATCAAGCGGTAATACGGGCACTGGGAGAGAGGATGGCAAAATGTATGGTTAGAGAGCTATTCAATATTTCTAGTGAACTTGATTAGGAGAAGGAGAATTTGGTTCCATGGCAACTACAGTCGAATTGGGCACAATGTCTAACATATATCGCTCGAAAAATAGTATGCACAGTTATCCAAACCTACTAAATTCATTTTGTATACTTGAGATACATGGCAACTATGGTCGAAACGGGCACAATGTCTATTTTAACATTGAACGTTTAATGTTATTTGTTTAAAATTGTTTCTGTTGACATGCTAAAAGTGCAGCCCAAAGAATAAAGTTCAATTGGACAATTCAGGATAAAGACCCAAATATGGTTATTAATGAATGTAGTGGAAACCCACGAACACGGTAACACCATCGCCCAAACTTATAAGACGCCTAGGATCTGAGCGAATAAAGTGCCTTGCAGTCGCCTAGAGTTGTAACCCCGTTCTTGCCCAAACTTTCGAATCGCCTAGGATCTTAGCAAACATAAGGTGTTACGGTTATCCAAAAGTACGGTTATCGAAGCAGTTATTGGGTAATCTTATCACGTTCCACGATTCAAGAAGTTCAGTTGAAGACGGTTGAACAACAAAGAGTAGTGACAGCATTTAGAGACGGCAGTTCCACGATAAGTTGGCCACCATGAAGAAAATGGGCAGTTATAAAGCAATTAAGCAGTTTCTAAGCGGTTGATCACAAAGAGAGTATCAAGGGAATATAAAAGGAAGAAAAGACATAGAGCAAAAGACCCCAAATCAAACACTCTCAAACAGAGAATATGTAATTTCAATTCTTTAGTTTAGACTTAAAATATTTCTTTTCAGTACTCGAATACTTGCGCCCCTTGGAGGCATTCTGTTTAAAGTCTCAATTGTAAAGTCATCACCAATAAAACACCCCTTTTTGAGACTTTTTCTCAAGAGGTTCGTTCCTTACACAATCGTCTGATCCATTTTTAATTGTTAGCGACAACCCGCGCGAAACAATTTGGCACGCCTATTGGGACCTTGGTGTTTGGTGTTGAAGATACAAAAGGTAAAACAATATGCCTCAAAAATCTGATAAGGAAGCAGTAAGTCAGGGAGGAGTCCAGTCTATGATCGAGCGATATGAGGAGCAGCATGGCTCTCCACAAACAGATGGATAGAATCAGAGCAATCACAGTTGTAACGAACCAATGACAGAGTTGAGTCCTCGAACCATGCGTGCATTACTCGGAGAACTCACACAAGATGTCATTGAATAGTTAAATCTACGAAGTATTCATAATATGGAAAGATTTACCCAGAATGAGAATGCGCATTATGACAACATAGCCAAACAACTGAATACTTTGAATGAAATAATGAATAAGTTAGTAGGCCAAATTTCTCAGCCAGTTGTGCCTCTTGCAAACCACTTTCAAACTAGGACAATTGTGGGACATAATCCCCCGGTCCTAAGTTTAAATCAAGGGGTAGAACCACCTTTTGATCTCTCTACTTCAAACCAGGGGGTAGTGTAATTCCAAATCAGAATAGTGGCATTGGTACATCTAACATGGGGGGTAACCTAAATGTAAGAGATAATGTCCTAAATAATGGGCAGAATACCCCACGTGTTGATGATGGAATAAATGTTCAGGCTAATGGTAACAATGGCCTAAATCATGGTAACTTTGTTGCCAATCAAAGACCAAACATCAGGCCTCAAGCAAATCAACCGGTCAACCAACCTGTAGGAATTTCGTATGACCCCAACGTCATGTTGAGGAATCAGATTATGAAAATCGTACAGGACTAGATGGCTTTTGGAGTATGTCCTGTCATTAGGTCGACTTAGACAAAGCCATATCTTGATTGGGTAGACCAAGCATATCCATGGCCTAGAGGGTATAAAGTGCTAGAATTCTCATTGTTTACCGGTTTAGGAGAGGTGTATACTCTACAACACATAGGGCGATTCACACTGCAAAGTGGTGACGTAACTGATTACGATAAAATGAGGCTGTTCCCTAGTTCATTAATAGGAGTAGCCTTCTCCTGGTTCATCAATTTGCCAGCAAACTCTATCCAAACTTGGCAACAATTGAAGCAATTGTTCCATGCTCAGTTTTATAAGACTGAGTCTGAAGTTACTTTGGTCGATTTGGCGAATCTACGTTAACTGCCAAACGAATGGGCAGAAGGTTTTCTTCAAAGGTTCAAGACGGCAAGAAGTAAATATTTTGTACCTTTGCCCGAAAAGGAGTTTGTCAAAATCGCTCAAGGTTGCTTAAACTTTTATTTGAAAAAGAAATTTCAAGACAAGGAATTTTCTGATCTTTTTCAATTGAGCGCGAACGTGATTAAGTATGAACGATTAATAAGAGAAGAAGAACAAATGAAAAATTCTAGCAGAGGGACTTATTATAGAGACCCAAAATTTGATGTTCATACTATTAACGACGAGTATTACGATCAAACCGAAATGTGTTTGGCCGAATTAGTTAAAGGAGACACATATACCTGTCCTATAATGGCTAAGCCTAGACCTTCGGGCAGGGATGAGGCTATAAAAGGTGAAAACATAAAGGCTAGAATGTTCTCATTCGATGTAACCAAAGCTGACCTTATATTTGATAAATTATATAAGGATAAGCAGATATAGCTGAGCGATAAGCATAAATTGCCAAGCCCTGAACAAATTAAGGGTAAAAAATATTGTAAGTGGCATAATGCATGGTCACATTTGATTAACAATTGCTTGGTTTTTTGCCATGTGTTATAGATGCTATTGAATCAGGACAAATTACATTCGAGGATAAGAGGAAGATGGCAGTGGATGAAAACCCTTTTCCACAGTCACTTGGAGTGAACATGGTGACATCTGGTTTCAAAAACAAATTGCCAAAATTCAAGTTGGTTATAGATGATGGAGAAGAAGACCCTAGACCACATCCCAGTGTCTTTAACGTATCAAAGGGAAGGAGTCTAAAAAGGACGAAAACGTCCTATGTGCAAGATGCAAAAAAGAAGTGAGTGAAATGTAGAGAAACCAGGGATATGGCAGCATCACCGTCGCCCTAATTTTTTTCCAAACGCTCTGCGTGGTAGAGGGCAGGGTACATCGTTCTATAAGGGACCGCCTTTTGAGAGGCAGCTCAGGCCAGTAAATAATGGGAGAACATTCAGACCGTAACCTCACCAACAAATGTATGACATTCTTTCCAATATAAGGTTGGAAGGGCGATACCTTTCAATGAGATGACTAGAACCCAATAAAGGCGTTTTCAACGGAACTACAGGCGAATGAAGAGGCAACAACAGGGAATGCTACGTCCTAAGGCACCTAGACTACTCGAAGCGGCCAATCAGAATGTTCTCAAAGATAGTGAAGAGATTGGTACAGGCGAACCTATGGAAGAATTTCCAGAGACTTCTTCTGGGAGGTCGAAGTTTAAGTGAGACAGAGGGGATGGAGAAGATCCAGATTAGCCTCTTAACTATCCAATTTGGTACGTTACCTCCTGTCGTGGCTAATAACTATTTACTAGCCAATGAGTTTAAGAATAAAGAGAAAGGAGAAGAAGAAAAGGAAGATAACGAAGAGGAAGCATGCATGTTGGAATATGAAGAAGGCCAAACTTCTAGAGAGGCCTACATCGGTGAAGAAAATGAT